GCTGTTGGCTTTTGCCTGTGGCTGGGCGCTGGCGATGGCTATCGGTAGGGCGACAGAGGCACATGCGCGCTTGTCACTTGGAGCTGCCGAGACTACGGGGCCGACCGTGGCGACGGGCGTTGGGAGGCTGGCCAGGACACCACGGGGCGCGTCCAAGGGGTCATGGGGCATGGTTGGAAAGCCGCCCATGACAGAACTTATGGGGTAACCCATATTTTCGGACAACATGAAACATAAATATTATATGTGAAAATTAGAAGATTAGAATACATCAAGTTTAAGTCATAAATCTGCCTATGCCAAACAGAGAGCATGATGGTATAGGACTTGCAAAGTGCAAAATCATTGCATTTGGTGTAACCCTTTATTTTTATTTTTATTTTTTTGAAGCCAACATCCAGGCTATACTGATTTGTGGTGATGGGGGGTTTGGCGGACTCCTACCTATCTATATAATTATCCAAAAAATTACATATATGAGGGCATAAACCTTAGACTTCAGTATTATATGGAGAATGAGAGCTATCATTCTTGTACATTCTGAAAGCACAACAAAATAGAGATTGAAAGAGGGCTATCAAATTTGGCCCAAACCCAAATGACTTGCCCAACCCGTCCAAGGTTGGGCTGGTTATTGACCCACTCATTTATTGAACTCAGTCTATCTTGACCCAAACACATTTTAACCTATTTAAAGTTGGGCTGATTCTTAACCCAAATTGATCTATGAGTAACTTAGCCAAAATATTTTAGAAATAATTTTTTTTGTTTGATATGTTATACATGACCATAACAAATGGAAAAAAAAATCTTATTTAGTAATTATACAATTCATAAGAAAGCAATACTACATATTAAGTAAAGTTTGATAAGAGTTTGGTGGATTGGACAATGATCCAAATTTTAGCCCATCTTGACACAACCCATCTTAGCCCAAGTAACTTTTGGGCAGTTCATTTGACCCACCAAATTATTGACTCAACTTATTTTGACTCGCCCAAAATCGACCCAACCCGCCCATTTGACATCCCTAGTACTTAGAGATATCAGTAGTACTTCTAAGAGTTGACAGAAGTGATTAACCATTATCAAATAAAAATTGTCCCTTTTTGGTTCTAATTCTAAAGTGAACATAATTTAAACACTGTGATCATTCTTCACTAAAGCTTTGACACTGCTAGGGAGTGAAATAGCTTGATTGAAGAACAAAATCAAGCTATTGTAATTAAGACTTCTATGTTATTGTTCAAGCTGCTTGATATTGGAAGTAGGTAGTGAAAACAAAATCTAAAGTGATGGTAAAATCTGCAGATCACCATTTGCTGCTGCAGACATATTATTTGATGAACTGTTGTAGTTTTGAATAGTTCTAACGTTTGTATTACTCCTAAAACAGGAGTTGCTGGTGATGGATTCATGGCCAGCGGTATCACCTTCCAAAATACAGCAGGTCCAAATGCCTTCCAAGCAGTGGCATTCCGATCCGACAGTGATCTTTCAATTATAGAGAACTGTGAATTCATCGGCAATCAGGACACCCTGTACACCCATACATTGCGCCAATACTACAAGTCCTGCCGTATCCAAGGCAATGTAGACTTCATTTTTGGGAACTCTGCTGCTTTCTTCCAAGAATGTGACATCCTAATCGCACCTCGGCAACTCCTTCCCGAAGAGGGAGAGACAAATCCTGTGACTGCTCATGGCAGGATAGACCCTGCACAGTCAACTGGCTTTGTCTTCCAAAATTGTCTGATCAATGGAACAGACAAATACATGGCATTGTACTACAAGAAGCCGGAGGTGCACAAGAATTATCTGGGCAGGCCGTGGAAGGAGTATTCGCGGACTGTCTTTATAGAATGTACTTTGGAGGCCCTTGTTTCAGCTGATGGGTGGTTGCCTTGGAACGGTGATTTCGCGTTGAGTACACTTTACTATGGAGAATATAGAAATACTGGTGCCGGAGCTAATACAGCAGGACGAGTGCCATGGAGTAGCCAAATCCCAGGTGAACATGTTAACTCTTACTCTGTACAAAATTTCATTCAAGGGGATCAGTGGATTTCTACGTCTTCTTGATTAACTTGTATGTTAAATGTACATAGTAAGTCAAGCTCAATATCGTTGAATGTGATTACAGAACATCAACCTCTTGTACACTTGCGATAAAATTAAAAATTTCAATGTAAGATATATCTAGCCAAGAGTTTTAAATTAATTCTGTCATGACATATAGTTCCTGGAGCTCTTGTTATTGACAAAATTAAAGGAGTTAGGTGTTTGTTACCACATTGTCTGGTGTTTCAATTACTTGTATGTACTACTAGAGATGTGACATATTGTAGAAGTTTACATTTTTCCGAAGTTGTTGAAGTGTTGCAAGTTTTGTGAAGAAAATAATGAGCTAGATCCTATTGTCATTGACTTATAATACTTGCAACCTGCAATTTTTTTTCAATTAGACTACTGAACTTTAGTGTACTCTACTCCCTCCGATTCAATTTATGTGAATCTATTTCCTTTTTAGTCCGTGCCAAAAAGAATGACATCTTTCCTTATTTGGAAATAATTTACCTTTATGCAACGATTTATAGCCACACAAAATATATGTGCCTCATTTTTACAAGTTCAAAAGTCTTCTCTTTTTTCTTAAACTCCGTGCCCAGTCAAATAGGTTCACATAAATTGAAACGGAGAGAGTATTATTTAACGTATTGAGATACTAAAACTCTAACAGTTTGTTTGGATGATTGTTATATATCCTTTCATAATATATCATATAGTATTGTATTGTATTGTATTGTATCGTTTTGATATATACAATGTTTGGATAGATTGTATTGTTTGTCGTCGTTTCATGATTTCATGCAATAACAATATGAAGAAAAAATTTGTAATATTATAAAGAAAAATATAAGGTACGAGGTAGAATTATTATATAAAAAGGTAGGTTAAAAGATAAAATATAATTATTTAATAATAAGGAAGGACAAGATGAGAGCAAAAAATAAGGTAACGACGCGACCACACCAAATCGGTCGTTACATAAAGTGACACTTTTCGTCGTTACGTAATGACGGATTTAACAGTACGATACAATAAAATTTAAATAACAATCAAAACAAATATTGTATTTAAAGTAACAGTACGATACAATACAACAAGTAACAACCTCCAAACAAGCTGTAAAAGATCTAATTCTTCTATGTAGGGGTGTACATAGGCCGGATTGGTTCGGATTTTTTAATTATCAAACCAAACCAATGGTGTCAGATTTTTAAATTTATAAACCAAATCAAACCAACAAAGTCGGATTTTTCAATCTCGGTTTTTCTCTGGTTTTTCGGATTTTTTCGAGTTTTCGGGTCTTTTTCCGGTAAAGTCTTCATAGCATAAAATATGTAGCTTGTACTCCAAATATTTCTTAAGTCCTAGTAAAATACAATTATATAATGTGTTTTCCAAAAAAACTAACACAATAATATAAGATAAGTCATAGCATTATACTAAAATATTTAATAACAAAGATAGAATAATAAAATTACATAAAACAAATATTGCTAATTAATAAGCCATAATGAAAATTAACATAATCTAAAAATACTATATAGGTCATGCTAAAATAAGTATAGCTAATAAGTACTAATATTAATTACATAACTAAGCACTAAAGAAAAAGATAAACTAAGTTATGCATTTTCATTATAAACCAATGTAAAACTAAAATAATTATCCAACACTATTGTCATTCCTAGTATTGAATTGAATTTCTTTTGTTAGCATTAGTATTGATTTGAACTTTGTTTGAGTTACTATATTTATGGGCTATAAAATTTATTTACCATTCTAGAATGTTAAGTCTAAACTTGAAATAATACGTTAAAAGATAAAACTGTGAAAAAGTTTAAGAAATATTTATAAATTACATTACAATAAATATTTATATGTATAAAATATTTTTAAAATTATATAAATGTACTATCGGGTTGGTTTGGTTTCGGTTTGACTTTTTTAGTTAAAACCAAACCAAACCAATTATGGTCGGGTTTTATTTTCCAATACCAAACCAAATCAAACCAAATCACATCGGATTTTTTTTCCGGTTTGACTCGGATCGGTTTGGTGGTTTATCGGTTTTCTCTGTACACCCCTACTTCTATGCATCAAAATATGATTATTCCTTTTAAAAATTCATAATGAGGAAGAATATAAACCACTTTAACTATTATGCTCCAATGAACTTTTATGTTTTCAATTAATCCAGGTTTACATCACCCATTAAGGAGGTCAAGCAGTTTCGACCAGAATGTTATCAATTTTCATGACCCGAACCCAAAACTTTGATTAATGGTAAATGAATGCCATCCATCTACTACACCCTTCTATGGTAATTAAGTTGGATTTTACTTGCGGTTTTTACTTTTTAGCAGTGCATTTGAAGCCATCAGTAATAGGCCAATTGGCCAAGATTTCGTCTTAAGGGGCTACTGTTCCTACCAAATAATTCTCAATTTTCATGACTCGAAACCAAAACTTATATTTAAAAGTAAATAAATCTTAACCATCCATTACATCCTTACGTGGTAATTGAGTTGGATTTTACTTGCTAACCTTTGGTTCTTAGTTTTTAATTTTTGGAACTACATTTGAAGCCATCAGTAAAAGGCCAATTGCCAACTTTGGGTCTAATTCTATTTGCTAGCAAAAAGAATATATATATATATATA